TACACTAAAATCCCGAGGTGGTTTTCAACGATGGAGGCAATGTTCCATTTAAACGTTTTTTACATCAGTAAAAAACGTAAATACTACCAAATATTAGATAGCGAGGGAAGAATTAAAACGAAACAGAAATTAGAAATACAAGAGATAGCTATTGATAATTGGTCATATTTTCAAATAAAATTGAGATACAACAAAGATGTAAAAGAATATGGAATTGAGATACAACAAAGACGTAAAAGAATATGGAATTGAGGTAAAAGATACCCTGTTTCTCCAACAATATGGCCTCCCCCAATAGGAAGTCCCACCATGTTTTATAGGCATGAAATGAAATTAAGCCCCTCCCCCCAAATTAAGGCCTATATGAAATGGTGGGAATGGTGGGGGGGGGGGGCTTGCCGTTAGGAAGTACTTTTGTTGCACACCCGGATATGGTGCTGCCTGCGTTGACCCCGATACAAAGTGCCCCACCAACGCCAAGGTCAACATCCAAGCTGTCGCCGCCCGAAGATGCAAGGGGGGGAAATTAAGTCACCCCCGAAAAGACGGCCTAGCCATTTTTTCGGGGCTCAAAAAAAAATAAGACCCAGCCTTATTATATGAGAAACACGGTACATATTTGGATAAAATACTTCTAAATCCTGAGAAAAGTTCAATTTCCAAATTATATAATTATTTATTAGAATATGAAATGGCCAAGAAAATTGTGAAAGGTGCCATGTTGGCTTGGGAAAAAAACTTTGGTTATAGCATTGATCTGGATTGGGAAGAAATCGGGCAGAAAAATTTGACACTAACCAAATCAGTAGCGCACAAGGAGAATTTATACAAAATGATGTACAGATGGCATCTGGTGCCCTCCAGATTGGCCAAAATATTTCCGACAGCCAATCCTTGCTGTTGGAAATGTAAAGGGAAATTTGGTACATACTTTCATTCATGGTGGACTTGTCCTGAGATAAAGAAATGGCTAAAAATAAAAACGTGGATAGAAGAAATTATAGAGAGTAGGCTGGAGTGGAAACCGGAACTAATTTTGTTGGGAATGATTAAAGGGGACTACCCCGCTAAAGTAAAATATCTGACCATCCATTTATTAACTACGGCACGTATCTCACTAGCACAATATTGGAAAAACCCAAATGCACCACCAATACAGGTTGTTATTCAGAAAAGATATGAATGTGCCCAACTGGAGAAACTTACACTTAAGATTAACGGGAAGGAGGATACAAATTATTACCGTATATGGAATAAATGGCATAAGTGGGTAGACAATAAAAGGGGAAACATATAAATGAACCTAAGATACAAATTATATCCAGCGATTCATAATATATTAAGTACAATTAAAGGTTTTAAATTTCTTTTCTTTGTTACTACTATTATTAGTATTAGCTATTTATAACATTTTTGTGTTTATTCATTAAAAAACATGAATGTATTAGTAATAGAAGAGTGGTTATAATCCAACGTGAAAATAAATGGAGTATATTGTGAATTATTTAGTACTTAGGATGTGATAAGGTATGAATATGTGACTAGTCCTAGCCAATAATGATTTTTAGGACTCACCAAATTCAACAACAAAAAGTAAAAAACTATGTGTTATTATTGTTTCTGTATTTCTGAAATTGTACGTTTTTAAATTTGTAAATAAAATTGTTTTTAAAACAAAACAAAATAAAATAAAATTGTTTGGTTAAGTGTCCATCTTGAGCTTTTTCTTTGCCCTCACCAGGTGATTCTCATAGGATTATGGTCTGCCCAGAGTTTGTGTCTATTTCCACTTCCTTTATTTCCGAGATTAGCTCCATCGACGTCCAAACCATATCTATTCTGGACCAGGATTCATGTCTGTTCGAATAGTATGTATATTGTTTCCTCTCCCAGTTCCTCTCTCTCCATATGTCTTGAATGTTTAACTCTTTTGCCATTTGAAAAACGTTCTGGATAATTAAGTCTTAATATTATGTTGAGAAAAAACTGTTATTATATGATCACTACTAATGAACATTATTATGATAATGAAGACTATCGCTCAAACTAAGTAACCAGACAACAAACTGTTTATACAGACATTGAAATTGTCGCTCTTTCTTTATATAGTAAAAGTAAAAAAAATATTACCAAAAAGAACAAAAAAGAACAAAAAACCAAATGCCTCACCACAATCGGACAAGATCTCACAAACAAGTTAGAACATGGCATCAATAAAATATCCAACAAACTCCAAACCATGGCACTCTGCAAAAGAAACTTGCCAAGATCACCCCACAGCACAAGATGACAACTTTGACACATGGATGAAAAACCTATCCAACAGAACATTATCAAAAGAGGAAAAAGCCGTACTCAATTTCAACCACAAAAATGTGCACCTGGTTGACTTCTTACTAATCTAGAATCCATACTAAAAACCAACAACCTCGATCATGAAATGCAGGAAGACATCAAACAGAGGATCATCCCCAAAATCCAGAGGAACAGACAGAACAGGTCTCAACCAAGAGGAATGGCACGCACTAAAAAATTGAAAAAGGATGTCATCCTGCCAACAGACAAAGGTAGACTCACCATCATAATGGACAAAACTGCTACATCAACAAAACCAAGGACCTACTGCATGACACTAGCATAAAAAACAATAGCAAAACAAAATATAATGTATTTTTTCGGTGTATAAGAAACTCTGAAGTGTAAGACGCACCTAGCTTTTGGGGAGGAAAACAAGAAAAAAAAATCTGCCTCTGTCTTCCAACAATTTGCCTCCTTGCAGCAAACAGTAAACAGCCACATCCTGATGAGCACCAGCAGCTGATTGTTGGTTGGATAGGCCTCCCAACAATCAGCTGTTTCAGGCTTCAGGGACTGCCATAGCCTAATACTGCCTCCGCGTCCCCCATTTTCGGTCTCCGCATCCCGTTTTCAGCCTCCGCATGCCCCATTTTCTGCCCATTCAGGGCTGTTTGCTGCAAGGAGGCCAACTGCTGGGAGGCAGAGCCAAAGGGTGGGCGACAGCGAGTGGGTGGGGCTTCGGCAACATTTGCTGTATAAGATGCAGACATTTCTACCCACTTTTGGGGGTGGAAAAAGTATGTCTTATACTTCGAAAAATACGGTAAAACACTCTGATGAAAATGGAAAAAGCAAAGCAAACAACTTTATAAAGTATAAAAAATAAATAAAGCTCTAGGGATTCCCTGAGGTGCACAAAAACGGAACCCCCTACACCCCATTGTAGCACTCCCTGGAGCACCAACCTACAAACTAGTGAAAGCACTACAAAAAAGACTTTGTCACTTCGTTGATGGTTCGACACTTTCCAATGAACACTGAACAATTCCTTCAACTAATCAAAAACATCCAAATAAACACCAAAGCAATGATGCTCTCCTTCAATACTACTGCATTATTCACTTCCATTAATATTAACCTAGCCAAACAAACACCCACAACCTGCTCACAGAAGACAAAAACACACCCAGAAAACACTCTGTCTATATCCACAGATGTGCCTGACAATACATTTCAAGTTTAACAGCAAGATCTACAAGCAGATACAAGGCAGACCCCTGGGATCATACATATCCAGCCTCATAGCTGAGGCAGTCATGCAAAAACTCAAACACACTGTCCTGCCAACCATCCAACCTAAACTTTGGGTCTACATGGACTACAACTGCTACATTCATCACCCTCAAATGATCCAAACTAGAAAAGACATATCGTCTTCTCAACAACATGTTTACTGGCATCAGCAAGGAAGGTAAGGATGAACAACTCTTACACTCAACTTCCTTGACATGGGCATATGTATGATCCCAGAAATCATAAGAATGGTGAAACTTGTGTATACCTGAAATCCATGCACATAAAATAAAATCCTCAACTTTTCCAGCAACCACCCCACAGAACATAAAAGAAGCTGTGTCCAGACCTCTTCAAGAGAGCCAGAACACACTGCAGCACCAAATCCCTAAGAAAAGCAGAGGACAAATACTTCAATATTTTTTTCTGCAATGGCTACCCCAGGAATTTTATACTGCGATGTATAACACCAGCCTCAAAAAGCCACACAGAAAAGCGCAAAGGCACATCAGAAATGGCTGTCAGGCTACTGCAACCTCTAGGAATAACAACAGCTCACAAATCCACTTTTACATTCAGACAGAAACTTACAAAGGTCAAAGAGAGAACATGGAAGGAAGACAGCACCAACATTATACAGAATCAGTTGCAACAATTGTAACCAGTTCTACATGGGATAGACAGGATCACAGTTAAAAACCAGAACCCATGAACACCCTAGTAGGCTGTCAAGTGGCATGATGCAAAGTCCCTGATCGCCAGTCACACCAATAACAAACAATACCTTTTTGATTGGGATAAAGCCGAAGTCATCGACCACACCAAAACCCATCAGGCACATGAGTTTTTCAAAGCCTGACATTCTATCAATGGGTCCATCAACAAACACACTTAGAACCAGCATAAGAAACAATGAGGAAATGGACCATCCCTACCACCAACTGGCAACAGAATCAACCACCTCCTCACCAGTTAAATTCCATGCCTCACAGCAACTAGTCAGAAGTCACCAGAATCAGTCTTGTGACTCAGTCAGTTTTATGATTCAACCAGTCACAAGACAGACCACCCAGGACCTATGTAAACAAACTTCACCCAAAACCCCACTGAAGATATTACCTAGTTTGGTAATGAAATATCTGACAGTCAAGCAGCAAGCTTGGAGGACAAACCTCTGCCTGTAACTTGTTTTAACAATTCATAATCATTTTTTACTTACTTATAGTATATTTCAAATTTAAATTTTGGTAATGTAAGCATGCAATGTAAGAAAAATATTCATGATAGATTTTTTATGTTTGATTTTTGTCTATAAGTAACTGAAGACTGAACAAAATTTCTGCTCTACAATGAAAGAATACAAGATATTAAAATGGAAAACAATTGATTTACCATGTTATCCACAGTACCTGAGGTATCAGAGGAACTGCTCACTTTCTTGGATGGAACTGATTTAGCAGCACGATTTGCTGAAAAAGCTTTGGCAGAGCATTTGACCAAAACTTTCTTTTCTTCTTCAGAGCTAGACTCTAAATAAAACACACATAGCTTTTATTTATACTGGCACATTTAATTTTACCTCAAAAATGTTGAAAGGTATTGACAGCATTTTATATTTGGCTGCTTGTAACTATTAACACTATACAACTGCCTAATAGAGAGATCATATGACAGGGTATTTACCTGAATCACTCCCTAAAGAAGTATTTCCTTTTTGGATAGAAACAGGAAGAGATTTCAGGGCAAATGCCTTTTTAATCACAGACCCTTGAGCTAGAGACAAAAATATAAAGGTTTCATTATATTCCCTGTGACAATTCCAAGATAAGAGTTCATAGATATGCTTTCAAGCTGGGATCATGCAGCAACATCTACAGGTACTACGGCATCCTAGTTGTCTTCAGCAGAAATAGTTGCAAATAGTTTTTATAGATTGAATAAGAACTATCTGTTCTGTTTATGCTAAGTTCATTATAACATTTATGTGTGTTAATGCAAAGTACCTTTTTATGAACCTAATAATATGCAGTGTTTTACTGACTTACCCCCAAAATAAGACCTAACCTGATTCCCTGCCCACACCTAATATAAGTCCTAGTTAAGACCTGCCGACTCCACGCTGCTGCCGCGAGGTCAGGTGGCAAAGTGGGTGGAGCTGCCTCACATGCTCTGCACCCGTACACCTCAGGACCCCCATATAGCCAGGCCACCCACATCCCAACATTTTAACCACGCAGGAGGCCAAGTGGCGCACAGCCATGAGGCAAGGTGAGGGGGGTTGGAATTGCCCCACATGACCCACCCTGTGCACCTCAGGACCCCTGCAGCCAGCTCATCCATGTCCCAATGGCAGCACTAGCAGTCCTGTCCAGCAGAAGCCCATGAGGCCACCAGCCCACTTCTGCTTGCTCAGGCACAACCGAGTAGGAAGCACACACAGACAGTTTGTATTGGATCCCTCTCCTTCCCTCCCTCCCTCCCTCCCTCCCTCCCTCTCTCTCTCTCTCTCTCTCTCTCACACACACACACACACACACACACATACACACATTGGATTGGATCACTGTCTCTTTTCTTTCCTTCCTTCCTTCCTTCCTTCCTCCCTCCCTTCCTTCCACTACGCAGCAATAGTTGGTCCCCGCTTTCTAACCGGCCTGCATCGCTCTAGCCGGCCTGCTTCTTCAACCTTGTATTCCTCCTTTATATGGAAGTACGTTAAGCTCCGGAAAAACTAGGCCACCTGGAGCTGGGTGATGAATGCCAGCCTCCCCTTCCCCAATGGTTCTGCAAAGCCCTTGAGGCTTTGTGTGGAGGAGCAGCTCGCTTCCTGGAGGGTTGGCCTCAGCACCCGCTTCAGGTGGCAAACAGAGGAACCTTGCTCTATTTTTTCAGGGCCTTTAAAATTGTGGCCCCCCACCCCCCTGCTTTTCAGTCTCAAAATCCAGAGCACATGTTTTCCTCCTGATCAGTATGATTTTTGTAAAAAAATAAATAAATAAGGAGGAACACAATGCCGCTTGGAGAAACAGCAGAAAAGGGGATTGCCATTTCTAGAACAGAGATGTGGGACGATGCAGGCCAGTGAGAAAGTGGGGACTGGCGATCGCTACGCAGTGGAAGGAAGGAAGGAAGAAAGAGCAATCTGATCTAACCGCTGTGTGTGTGTGCGTGAGAGAGAGAGAGAGAGAGAGAGAGAGAGAGAGCACACATCGCTGCCAGCCCTGGTAGAGTTATCTTTGAGGTTGGATCAGATCTCGATCTCTCTCTTGGATCAGATCTCTCTCATTCCAAATTGGATTGCTCAGGTATTGTCTGAAAATTGTTTTCCTGAGCCTAAAACCCTGCTAAGGCAAAAAAGCCTTTCTTCTTCTTCTTTACATATATCGTAGGGATCAGATGTCTCCCTCTCTCTAATGGAGAATAGTGCATCCTTTCCTATATTTGAGATTCCTTCTATAAATCAAGAAAAAAATTTCTTCATTAAAAAGAATGTATCTACCAGAGGACTATATTTCTTATATAAATATAGTTATTTATGAAACATACTTGATGGTCTCTTTGTGAACACTTGCTTTTTTTCCTCATTATTCTTTCCCTTCTTCTTAAAGATCTTTTTAATGAGGTGTGCTTTGCCTTTCCTTGATTCTGTGGCTAAAGGGGGTGGCACAGCAGAGTACTCTCCTGCAATGACAGACAGCAGGGAGGAAGGAAGAGAGGAACAGCCACACACAAAAACATATATAGGATAAACCAAAAATTAGGTCTTGCAGACATTATATGTACATGATTTAACTACATAAATTGCATTAAATGTTCAAATCATTTGCCATTTTCTTCTAAACTGATTAAAGCTTCTGTACAGGAAGGGACAGTGTCCCAGCACTTTAAGGAGGCTGTGGTCCACCCTCTTCTTAAGAAGCCATCACTGGAACTCCACCCGGTTGGATAATTTCTGACCTGTCTCCAATCTTCCCTTTTTGGGGAAGGTTGTTGAGAAGGTGGTCGCAGCTCCAGAAGTTTCTGGATGAAACGGATTATCTCGACCCCTACCAGTCAGGATTCAGGCTTGGATTTGGGACAGAAACAGCATTGGTCGCACTTTTGGATGATCTCTGGTGGGAACAGAATAGGGATAGTGCATCCATCCTTGCTCTACTTGACCTCTCGCGGCTTTTGATACCATTGACCATGGGACAGCTTCAGGGGATGGGAGTGGGAGGCCTTGTGCTGTCTTGGTTCACTTCCTTCCTCTGTGGCCGCTCTCAGTCAGTGTTGATAGGAGGGGAGAGATCCAACCCTCGCCCACTTCTTTACGGGGTTCCGCAGGGCTCGGTACTCTCTCCGCTCCTGTTCAACATTTATATGAAGTCACTGGGTGAGATCATCCGTCACCATGGACTGAGATATCACCAATATGCTGATGATACTCAGCTGTGTCTCAGCCCGTGGTGAGTTAAGTGATGCTGTCTCCTCCCTCTCGCAATGCCTGGAGGCTGTTAGGGGCTGGATGGGGAGCAATGTGTTGAAACTAAACCGAATGGGTTTGGTTGCAAGACCGAATGGGTGTGGGTTTGGTTGCAAGACCGAATGGGTTTGGGTTTGGGGTTCGTTGGTTCAGGGAGAATTACCACCTTTAGTCTTGGATGGGGTGGCATTACCCCAAACAGACCCTGTGCGTAACCTACGGGTTTTCCTGGACTCACAACTCCTGATCGAAGAGCAGGTGGCGGTCGTGGCCAGGAGGGCCTTTGCGCAACTGCGGGATGTGCACCAGTTATGCCCTTTCCTGGATCAGTGGTCCCTACTCACAGTCACTCATGCCCTAGTCACTTCCCGTCTTGATTATTACATGGGGTTGCCCTTGAAGAGCATCCGGAAGCTCCAGTTGGTACGAAATGCAGTGGCCCGCATGGTTTTGTGCAGACCCCGGTGTGCACGTGTCACCTCTCCTGCAGAAGTTGCATTGGTTGCCGATTTGCTTCCGGGTGCAATTCAAAGTGCTGGTTATCACCTTTAAAGCCCTTCATGGCTTGAGTCTGGGTTATCTAAGGAAATATATCTTGCCAGTCACATCCACCCAACCCATTAGAGCGAGGAGGCAGGGAATGTTGCGGGTCCCACTCCTAAGGGAGATAAACCTGGTAGGACCCAGAACAAGGGTCTTCTCCATGGTGGCTCTGTCTTTCTGGAACATCATTCCTCCAGAGATTAGAATGGCCCCCTCACTAATACTCTTCTGAAAGGCACTGAAGACCTGGTTTTGCCAGCGGGCCTGGGGAACCCAGAGAGGGATGGAGCCCATCAGATGGCTAGTGTGATCTGCTGTCGTCGGGGAGGGGGGTGGGAGTTGGTTTTTTTTTTTTCCCCAAATTTTGTTCTATTGTAATTTATTTGATTCTTTTTGTTAGTTTTTATTGTTTTTATTTTTTATTTTAAATGTGGTTTTACATTGTGTAAACCGCCTTGAGTCGCCATGGGTGAATAGAGAGCAATATAAATTAAATAAATAAATGCTTTCTTATTCATTTGATGAATGACCTCTGTACGTTCCTAAGCCCATTTTCTAACATTTTATCTGAAAAAAAAAAAAAAAAAACAATTTGGAATTAGCTTGTTAATTGCTACATCCTGTATGTGTGTGTGCATTTGTATATATTATACCCACATGCACACACACATATAGAATGTAGCAATAGAAAATAGAAAAATTATATCTACTGATGAAATTGATCACATTTATCAAATATTTATAAATATATTATTTCAGAAAATGAAAAAAATCTAGAACATAAACTTGATTTTTAAGTATTGTTGGACTGTTATGCTATTCTTTGGTCCTTCCTCTGAGTAAGCGGAAGTGAATATTAAGGAAAAACAACAAGGTAAGTACAGCAACAGATAAAAGCCCTTAGCTTTTCATTCTTTTTATCCACGTTTTCATAAAATCTGGTTTATGTATTTAAAGGGGAATATGCGCTGCCAGAAAGACAATTAACATATACTCATGCAACTTACTTTTGCAACCCATCCCAAGATCACAAAATACCTTACCTTTTGTCCAAACCCCAGTTTCTCTCAGTACTGATCTACATCTTCATCTAAAGTAAGAAGTCAGCTTCTTTTAATAACTCACCACGCTTGGGCTTTGAGGCTAGTTTTTCATGTTCTGAACTGTCACAAGAAGTCTCACTGTTGCTCTTCTTTACATGCTTGGTTTTAACCGGAAGTGGCTGAGCAGTGTTGTTTTTACAGTGTGGAAGTTTCTTCAGTTTACCCTTATAAACAAAACAAAATGAAAACTGAAAATGTCCGAACATCAATCTAACAAACACCATTTTCAAGATGATCATCGTTCAGCAAGACATTGCTTATATACAAATGCCAAGCCAGAGACGTGGAAAGCTGTTAAGATATCATAGCACAGGATAACATTAGGGCTCAGCAATTCCCCATTGCCTAAGAGTATTTTCAGAGTTGTTCCTCACTTGCTGCTGAAATTAACCTTTGGTTAATCCTAACCATTTCCTCTCCCTGCCTGCCTTATTTTAGAATCCATTAAGTAGATACTTCACTTTCTTGGACAGTATTCTCTATTATTAATTGTGTTCACAGATCACAATTAATTGCTGACGGAAACTCAAAGTACTCCCTAAGATATTTAGAATCAATACTGTTAATAGTATCTTTGAGAAATGTTTGACTAGGATAATAGTTTTCATCTTCATCAGCACCGACAATGTTACCTAGTTTGGGTAATGAAATGTCTAGAAGAAAACAACCAAGCTCAGAGAGCACCAAAGACCACTCATTTCAACCGTGAGCTACAAATATTCTTTATTGGTTTTCTAAATCTACCATTTTTTCCACCTTCATCTGAAAATGACTCTCAAAAATTGAGGGAGAGCTAATAATATTGAAAAAGAATTATACACGTTGAAGTCACACACACAACAATCACACTCACATTTGTCAGGTTAGTTACTGACCACATTTGAGATTTCTGGAGGAAAAAAATGGTGAATTGAAGATGTTTCCATAAAAAATGGAGCCAATGACCATAGTGGAGTAGAGCCAGCAAGTAGACTGGCTCTCCAAAACTTCTCCAGACAAATGAGGACTTGAGATCATCCACAAATGCTTCAACAGTTGCATTTCACAAGGACACCACAAGATAATTTGTGAAATAAAGAAATAGTCAACATCAAACCAAACTCAGAGCCTTTGAAAAGACACTAGATTTAGGGAGGGCAGGGCTTGAGCGGCAGTGAAAAGATGGTTGTCTTGGGCTCCGAGAAAGCCGCTGATACCCCTGCAGCTAGATGGTCCCAGTGGACCCGAACCGTCCTGGTGAGACGGTAAGCGGAAGGAGCGCATCATGTCAATCCCAGGGACATCGCAAAGTCCCTGGTAGATTCAGGAAGCTCTACAGTCTGGCAATGGTGGGAAGTGGCCATTTTTCACAAGCCGCTAAGAAGCTATGCTAGCCTCGGAACAGAAGATGAAAACAAAGAAAGAAGATGGTGTGTCGGTTTGGGTGAGAAATTTTTATTTTAAAAAATAAATGAACAAAGGAGTACACCAAATAAAAGAATTATTAAAGAAAGATAGAAGACAGAAAAGTTAAAGATAGTAGCGAACGGCAAGGAACTGTCAATTTTATTTGGATTTTTATTCTTTGGGGGAAGAAAGGATTACTTTGTCTTGCTTCTTTGTTTAAATAACTAGATTGGATTGAATTAAAAAATAAGAAGAAATTAAACCTTTTCTGCTCTTTTTAGTTTAAATATTTGAAGTACTTTTTCTTTTTCTCTTGATTCTTTTTTTTAACTTTCACTGCTTAGAGTATAGAGATACAGTGTAACTAAGGAACAACTATAAGGAAAGCTAAGCAATACTGCCATCTGGAGGTCACAGGGAAAATCTTTTTCTTAAAAATAACAGACTGTAAAGTTCATTTTGACAACAGAGAAGTGGAGAAAGATAATAAGTCAGCACTGAAAACAGGTGTTGTCTCTAAATAGCTGGCATACAATTGGAAAGTTGAATAAGATTAAGAGAAAGAAATAACACTGTGACCTTGAACAAGATATATGCCTTTGACTCTGGCTTTCTGGACTGACTGAATATTACATTGAGATTTTGCTTTACTTAGTGACATGGATTTATAAATTACAGCTGGTACCTTTCTTTTTTTTTGTCTTTATTTTGTTTTTTTTATTCTGTTTTTGCTGGAGTACATATTGGATTCATTTTCTTCTCTCCTGTTTACTGGGCTTCTTTTATTTTTTGGTCCAGTTCCTCAATATGGATTAATTTTGGATTGGTTTCTATATATATATTCTCTCTTTCTTTTTCACTTCATTGATAGTTTGATTAGTAAGTGGACTAGCAAGTGGATATAATTGGGTATTTTTGGATTTGTTTGTGCTTTTTTTCTCTTGGCATTCCCTTTTTCTCTTCTCTTTTATGAAGAAGTGTATGGATTTGTATTTTTATTTCCTTTTTTCCTCTTATTTTTGGGGGGAATTTCTCTTTTGGTCTCTTTTCTGGTTTTTTTGAATTTTATATATTTTTTACTCCAATTTTTTTAATTGGATCTGCTATTGGATTCCATCAACTCCATCGTTGTTTTTTTCTTCTTCCTTTTTTTCCTCCTTTTTGTTCCTCTTTTTTATTGGATAAAATTGGATTACTGTAGAGAAGAACCTGAAGATTGTTTTTTATTTCCCTTTGGGCTTTTGCGAATGGATTACAATTTGATCTGATATGAGTAAGAGAATACCTATTGGATCATCAATTCCTACTTCCTCATCCCTGAGCCCAGCTGGTCAACGATCTATTACAACAATGTTGCGGCAGGAGAAAGGTAAAGAAAAGGAGACATCTACGCAAGAAATTAAGTCAATGCTTCAAGTAATACAAGATCAAGGGAAGCATACAGAGGACAGAATGGAAAAGATGGAGGAAAGGATGGAGAAGATGGAAGGAGATATACAGCAGGTATTAACAATATATGGAGAAAAAATACAGAAGATGGAAGAAAGAGGTGACAAAACAGATAAGAAAGTAGGAGAAATAGATAATAGATTGACAAGGGTCGAAAGTGAGAAAGGGAAAGATTCAGTATTTTGGGAGATGGAAAAGGCCGATTTTTACTTAAGATTTCAAAATGTTGAGGAAGGGAGAAAACCTTAAAGAAATTATGACAGAAATATTAGCAGAACCGTTGGAGATGACTAAAGAAAAAGTGATGGATGGAATGGATGAAATATATCAAGTATTTACTAGATATGCAATGAGAAACAAACTACCCAGAGAAGTACATGTGAGATTTACCAAGAAAACAATAAGGACAGAGATACTGCAGAAGGCAAGATATGATTTATTGAAATACAAAGGAAAAAACATTATAGCCTTGAAACAAATACCAAGAAAGGTGAGAGATTTAAGAAGAGAATATCCATTCCTGACAAAGATGTTAATCAAAAAAGAAATTAACTATAGATGGCTGATCCCGGAAGATTTGACATTTATTTGGTGAGAACAAAGACACAGAATTGACTCGGTGGAGAGTGTAGAATTATTCTACAATGAATACTTTGGAGGAACAGAAGATGAGAGAGCAAGAGAAGAGGAACTCAAAATACAAACAGAAATAGAAATGGAGAAGGAACAAAGGGAGGAGAGGAGACAGGAGGAGGGAGCAGTAGGTGGCCAAATGATAATTACAGAACCAAATAGACATTTTTCATGGTCAAGAATAGACATGATTTGGATGTCAACAGATTTAATACCTAATATTCAAGAAGCAAATATTGATACAGATGGGTTGACCACAACCCAATAAGGATTCAATGGAAGGGACAGAAGAAAGGATCAAGATGGACTTTGAATAATTCAATTTTGAAAGAAAAATAATCTATTAAATACCTGGAAAAAGAGTTAGCTTTCTTCCTGAAAGAAAACAAAGCAGGAGAAACCTCATTACAAAATGTATGGGATACTATGAAAGTGTATACCAGAGGGGTGATTATAACCTATACAAAAAGAAGAAATATTAAAAAGAGACAAATGCAACAATCCCTAGAACAAGAGTATAAAAAATTGGAGAAGGATCTACAAAGATATCCACAGCATAAAAATACTAAAAATCAAATGGATATAATTAAAAACAAAAACTGAACTAACAGAAAAAGAAGTATTGGCACTAAAGATTAGAGGAGCTAAACAGAACTATTTTGAAAATGCAAATAAACCAGGGAGATGGCTAGCATATAAATTAAAGAAAGAAAAAGAATCAAAAAGAATACCACAATTAATGGATGAAAATGGCACGTTATGTTATGAAAATGAAGAGAAGAAAAAAATAATACATAATATATGAGAAACTATATGATCAAGAGGCAATATCAGAAAACAAAGTACAGCAATATTTACAAGAAGCAGAATTACCGAAAATACCTGATGAAGTAAAGACCATGTTAGATGAGAAAATAACGATGGAACTGACAGAAGCAATAAACAGACAAAATATTGGAAAAGCCCCCAGTCCGGATGGGCTACCAGCTGAGTTTTATAAGACAATTCAGGAAATAATTTCAACTACAATGTTGGAAGTATTGAATGAGGTTTTGATAAAAAATAAAGTACCCAATTCATGGACAGAGGCATATGTTACACTTATAACAAAAGAAGATACTGACCCTCAACAAATAAAAAAATATACACCAAAGACACTAGATTTGCATGCTTCCTTTTCTAATCATTTTCAGTTCTTCATTTGAAAAGTTGGATAGCACTGAGGGAGTTTCCCTCAATCCTTAGGGAAATAAAATTTTAACTACAACTCTAAGAACTTAAACACATTTTTTGAATAAACCACAAAAAATGATTAAAACTTTGATTGTGAAAATTACAATAGGACAAAGTGTCCAGATAAATTTGATATAAGATTTTGGAAGTAATTATAAAGAACTATAAATTATAAAATCTACAACCTGGTGGTGGTCAAGTGGGCCGGAAAGTGGTCAGCCTTAGATCCCGGGGCTACCCTGAAGCCAGCAAGGGGCTGCCCCTGCCCCACCCCCTGGGCACACGCACTGGAGGCAGCAAGTACACAAGGCTTTGTCCTTTGTATATGAAATATGTGTTGGTTAAGCAGTGTTCTGACCCATAGTCAGCTCCAGAGGAGCACCCTACAAAACCTAGCTAAACACCTAGCAAAAGAGCTACAGCCCCATGC